CTATGGATTAAGTTACACCAGTATAAAGATGCCTTATACCATTATAGCTTATTTGCCTTCTTATAGAAGCACTTTCATACCAGGATAACCGTGTCCAGAGAGGGGGGCAAGGTTTTCGACAACTTTAACTATCAGTACTAAAGCAGTACAACTTTTGTTTGTAGACAAAGCCTAGCTTTATGTCTAAAGCATGAGCTTTTCCCCCCCTCTAACCGCACCAACATTCAACTGGTTCGCCTAAAATTTCTCGTCAGTTTGCCTAAAATTTCACATCTGTTTTTCTGCCAGGGAGAATATTTCTTGAGAAGTTTGAGGTTAATTGGATGAGGGATCTGGGTGGTGCAAATGTTTTTAAAAATGAGGATGGTTAATTTTTTTCCAAAATGTCTTTAAAACAACAACAAAACCAAAACCTTCCTCTCTCTAAAATCAGCTTTGCCTAGAAACTTCATTGGCCGACATCCTGTGAAACCAGAACTACTGCTTTATGTTGTTCAGCACTGGCCATCCTGTAGAACTTAATGGCTGTGCGCATTACCTACAAAAGACTAAATAAATAAAAGTTCCAAGGTTGTATCATGATGAAATCAAAGCTGATTTAATTTCAGGAAGTTTCATTGCACAAGATAGGATCCATGGATGTGTTTATTTATTCAAACAATTGTGAGTGGGAAGTGAAGTTGATACACCTACAGTAAATGCAACATTTTGCTCAGGGAAAATGACTGAGGTGACACAAGCGTTGTACTAAAATTTCCAGTTCAGAAGGAAAATTAAAGCTACCAAGCAAGATTTTGAGCTTTAAGGTTACAAAAAAGGGACACAACTGATGGTGCAAAATAGTCTTCGATTGGTTGGACTATAATATAGGTTATTTTAGAATAATGTCTCGTCTGAGTTCTCTATAACAGAGTCTAACTTAACACTCTTTTTAAATTCCTTTCACTTGGTACAATCATCCCAAAAGCTTTCTAGTCAGCTACTGTTATTATTTCCCAAAGCCAAGGACTCTCCTAGAGTCATTATGTTCAGCAACTGACTCAGGCAACCATAATTATTTTCTTATCAAATTACTTCTTATTCTTTAATACTTTTCCTGCATTGTTATACAAACATTTTTTAAAGTGCATTCACTTTCAAATAGCAAAACTGTTGGATTTTAGTACTTATTCTTGTTCTTACTCTGTCTATTTTAAGGCGTATTTTAATCTAGACCTGGAAATAAGAAAGCCATCTGTAACACCCATTGTAGCACCATTTAACTCTCTAATTTAAGTGGAACTTTCCTCTGGCATGGTCAGATGCCAATAGCTGCCATTATTAATTTTCCATACAGTATCAGACAATGGATTTAGCGAAATATCCTTCATGTTACACAGAGTGGTCGTCAAGTCAGCTAAACAAACAACTGAGACCTTGTATTACAGTGGACTTTTTCTGAGTCCATTGTAACCTGGAAAAAGTGTTTCCTCTCAGGCAAATTCTATAGCAAGAATGTAGTGTGGGAAAACATCGGAATTGTTTTGTTTCTTTTAAAAATTGCTGTATTTGTCTGCTTCATCTGCTTTCACATTAGTACGCTGGTCCCTCTCCCGAGAATCTTGTTCAGTTTTGACAAGTCCCTGCCCATTTTATTTCCAATTCAAAGTTTGCCGAAGTCAACGGAAAGACTTCCACTGACTTAAATGGGCTTTGGATTAGGGCTTTTGGTCCCTGTTCTACAATGAACTTTGGACGGGTGGTATTGAGGTCAGTCAGTGGGGCTCTGTCAAGCACCGGCATTCATCCACACCAAGTTCATGCATGATCAGAGCACTTGTGAGAGTTTACCCAAGTAAAGACTGAGTAGCCAGTGAACTAGGACTTCCAGATTTGGGCCAATGTAAACACGTAGTTCAATGTAAGCATGCTACTGGATACAGTATTTCTTGAACTGGAGATGGAGGGAAACAGTCTGCTGATCAACTGGCGACTTACAATTTAGTTACAATAAGTTACTTAGAATTATTTGAGTATTTGCCAATATCTATCTAGTACTTTGCTAAAGGGAGATGCATATTGTAAGGTATACGTAACATCATTAGTTAGCTATGATAGGCAATCTACTCTGATTTATCTTTTAGCATCATCTCATTTGGAAGAATAGTGGGTCTCTGCCCCATCTATAACCTATGCATATAACTTTGATATTGTAAAGTGATACTATGTTAAGGAAGCAATAGACTCTCTTCAACATGAGCCAAAATATTTAACCTGCAACCTTTTGGAACAGAAGCTGACAACATCAGTGGCCTGGCCAAAAGTCTTACTAACATGGAATTGCCACAGGCTAATAAATATGAAGAACTCTTCACCAAGCATTTTACTACTGTTGAGTGAGAAGTGCTTAATTGTTTCAGAAGTCTTGCACTCTCCTGTCTGCTCTATGCACTCTTTACTGTACATAAAATATCCAAGAAGATTGCCTTGTCATGCCTTGCCTTTAATCTCCGTTTAAACTGGGCATAGCTGAAATAAGAGCTGTGGCTCAAAATGATCCAATCAAACACAGGACTGAGGACCTAATCCTGACCTTCACCGCTCGGACCCAGAAGAACTAATGCAGGTTCCCCTTCTTTGGGGGATCAGTGGGTAAGTCTGGGAGTGAAAGATTTGGGGGCCCAATCCACCTCCCACTGAAGGCAACAGCCCCAATACAGCACTGCCCCGTACAGTTGTGTCGCCACTTACACCAGTGCAAAAGTAGTGCAAAGCACTACCAAATCAGAATTACACACACTTTGTACCAAGATAAACAGGCACGCCAGCAGTGTACCAAGGTCTTTCCAGTGACTTCTACTCAGACCCAAGGTCTGTGCACACAGAGTACCCATCCTCCTTCCCTCCCTACTATGAAGCCCACCTTCATGGGATCTGCTTGCATCCCAGCAGCAGGAATTTTGAGAGGCAAGAAAATCCACAACTTAGCAGTTTCCAATAGCCATCCTCCTCCCTGCAGAGGGAAAATGTAGAGGCCCACGGGCTACTAAAGCGCTCTGGCTGTGGAACATATGGTGGACCCCAATGCACAGCCTCGTTATTTGGCCTGTATCCACTGGGTTGAAGACTTGGCCCTACGTGTAAGTTAACCAATCCAACTGCAACAAAAGCCTGACAGCTTCTAATCAACATCTTTGATTTTTTTGACATGGGATAAAGCTCCTCGCTCGAAAACATTTGATGTTTGATCAGAAGAAAATGTAGTTTTGTAATGAAAAGAAGAAGAATTCTATATGAAAAAAAGGGGGTCATATTCCAAGGTTCCAATCACACAGGCAAAAGCCCTGCATCCAAAATCAAATTTTGCCTGCCTCCAGAACACTGGATAGAGCCCTACATTTGTCCACACCAACATATCTTTAAAACAGGCCAACAATAGTGGAAGTTACTGACGCACATGCAAGAATAAATATTCAGGAATTTTCACCAACACCAGTAGCCATGTGCATATGCTGAACTCGGAACATGCATGTTGCAGGCATGAATGAGATTAAACAAGAAGAATCATTGCAAATCGTTGCACAGTGAAATTAGATGCTAAAATATTTTCACATGATCTCAGCAGACAGCTTTACTCCTTAATTAGACCCTGTTTTTTAGTCTATATGATAACGAAAAAAACCCACTGGTTTAAATCTTATCTCTGATGAAGCCTTCCCATTAATAAAAATGTAAACAAAGAGAGTAGTAAAACGTTGATAAGATCATTAAAAAAAAAAAATCAGAATCCCAATGCAGCAGGATTGGAATTGTCTAAAGCTGCTCAATTAGGACAGGGTGTCACATAAAGTTCAGCCCAGAGTGTTAGCAATCACATTCTCCAGCAACATGTATATAATTGGAGATCTTCATAAGAACCCTCAGGTTTAAAGGCTCATAAAATCTGTATTTTACTCGTAATTTGCAGGAGACAAAGAGAAATTGTTAAGGACAAGTAACATTTTCCTCCCAGTGAAAAAGGCTTTGAAGATAATACTCTTATGATTACAAACAAACTAATTCTTAATGCCTTATTTTTCTTCCAGAATATTTGGAGAAATGTATAACTTTTTTTTTTTTACTGTATATATTCACACACACAAGAGGAAGAGAGAGAGAAAAAAAATGAGTATCACAAAAGTATATTGGAAACTATACATTTTAAATTACTTTTGAATACAAATAATAAAGCACTTTGTGATAAGTATCTTGATAAAACATTGTAATCAACCGTGAGACAATCTATGTTCTTCAGATAAAAGTATGTATAGGCTCCAAAATATAGCTGAAAGGTGTTATTTCATTTAAGGGTGAAAAAAAATCCATCATCAAAAATATTAAGTACACCTGACTCTCAGTGTTAGACTCACAGATCCCTCTGCACTTTCTCAGTTTCTCTTTTGCCATTCTAAAACAAAACCCTTTCAATTTGTTAAAGACTCCACTGGTGAGAGCGTTCCATAAATTACCAATTTATACTGGCCATTTTCTGAAATGTTCAAAGCAAAGCTAAGGTAACGAACAGGATGCTGAAGTTTCCATTCAGAACAGTAAAATATATCCTGCCATCAAGCCCGCATAGTGTAACTTTAGATTTTGCTTGAGTCAAGCCTTTTGGAAATAAAAGCTTGTTGGCTTTCTAGATAAAGCCATTTCAGACTGCTTTTTGGAATCCTGCTAAAAAGCTGTTTGGATCTCAAAACCTGTCAAAGCAAAACAAAGACTAGTAAAACCTAGCATTTCCTACCTGGTACAGGTAAGGACCAGCTCTCAAAGGCCACCTTGGGATACTTCAGACTAGTAATCAGACTCATGTTTAGAAGAGACACTAACATGAACAAAACCAAATCTGTCCCGTCCTTTTCTTCTTTTGTTAGCAAAATCTACGGCAGTGGCTTGGTCGAGTGAACAAGATGAAGACCCCACAGACTAAACTAGTCCAAATATGCTGCTAGAGAGAAATACACAAAAAGAAGGCTTACTGCTTGTCATGTGACTCGGTGAGATATGCTGCCCATTGGGTGTGCTTGAAGTGAGGTCAATAGCCATGTTGGAGTGCTCCCTTTCGGGCGAAAGCTCATTGTCACCTGTTTTCACAAAATAAAACACTTAGGTTTCTGTCCCATGGCTCCATAAAATTATTCAATTATACAGCATTCAGACTTGCTAACTTCTTTTCTACCCACCCGCCTTCCAATTTTAATAGATTCCTCCACGGTCAACTAAAATTGGCTTCCTAGTGACCATAAACATGAATTATTATTTTTGAGAATCAAAAAGTATCCTCTAATCCCCACAGATTATAAAAAGTACACGTGAAAATCTTGCTCTGGCTGTTTTGCATGAACAGAACTTAGAATTACTTGCCCATTTCTACATACTTTGGTGCTAACAGACTAGAGACTGAACTGGAGCAGAGTGGAGTATCATTCTTCTGTAAGGACCTTCCACTCCAATTTTGATTCATGGTTTTCATGTAGCTGGCCATTAAGCTATAATAGTTCAACAAAGTAAAGTATTTTCCCTTAATGGACAAGAAGGGAGCAATGTATAGTACTAAAAAGCCTCACAGTAAAAAATGATTTAGTTTCTGTCCTGTTTCTCATTTATGTTTTATATAAAATAAACATTGCTCTCTTATGAAAATATTTAAGCAAATATTTAAGCTTATAAGATAGTGTTGTTTTTTTTAAATAACCACTCAAGTTTAGTGTTAAATGGTATCTCTCCACTGTTCTCTTACAATATGGAGGTTAATAACAGCACAAATGAAAGTTAAGAGTTTCGGGGGGGGGGGGGGTAACACTTTCTACAGAGATATTGTGAAAAGGAAAGCAAAGGAGACTTCACAAGTAAACCAACAAAGTTAAATAAAAGTACTTACATGTTATATATCCATCAGTAGCCTCTGCTTCCATAGTCAAAGTGCAGTGCTACAAGGCAAAAGAATACAGCCTCAAAGATGCCTGCAAGTATCAGCCATTAAATGCTTACACTTATTTAAAGCCATTAGTAGTTGCCTCTTTTGCTACTGCCGCTGCAACCAGCACCTAAGAAACATGCAAATGAAGTGGTGCACCGTGCACTGGTAAGTTTTTGAACTCTTTTGGCAAATGATCTAAAGCTGCTGCAGACGGGGGTAGAAAAGGTAAGTCTGCATCTTGATGAGCTATGTTGAGACTATAATTTAATTTTTAATTACAGTTCCACCTGCTTTCATAATTTTTTTTTGGAGGATCCAGTTGGACCAGGTATGTTTTCACTGGGATTTTAATGCTTTATCAATTATCAGTTCTCACATCCACAGCAGGCTTCTAAGATGTTGATACTACAAAGATTGCCCCTTCCATACTTATTCCATGATGGCTATCATGTTCTGACTAAAATAAAACCCTTCAGTGTCCATATTCCTTTCAGAGTTATTACAGCCTTTTGTCTTCAATTGGCCATCGAACACCCTCACTCACACACCCAGACACCTGTGCATGCACCTGTTCATTGTAACCATACCTATCATACTATGGGCTGCATGTCATATTTAATATTTCTAGACCATGCATTTTGTGGTGTGTGCCAATCTCAAAGTTTCTGGAAGCACTTTGCTGACATAGAACAAGCTATTACTTTCCAGAAACTCAAGTAACTGTATTGGATGACACCCCCAAGCTTTCATTTGATTAAAAGGGAGGGGGGGAAGGAATCAATAATCGTAACTATATTATTTTAAGTGGAAAAGTTAAGAAACTGACATGATCAGAGGAGAATTTTATTTCCTCTCTCCATCTACAGCCCCTTTTTTGCCTTTAGTTTCAAAACTCTCACTGCACCAAGCAGCTAAATTATTCACATGAGCCATTTCTGTATTGATCGCCAAGTATATTTAGCCCTGGCTCCTGGAATTTCTCCATTACTTACTGGAAAACAGGCAGCTTCACTTCTTGTCTCCAAAACCACTTCCCTCTCCCCTACCCCACGGCCCCTAAAAAAAACAACTTTCCTCTGTGTTCCTCTCTGGTATAAGGCAGATCAAATTCCCAAGGCACTCAGTACACATAACACATACATTTCAAACTGAAGAGCTGCCATCAAACTCTTTCCATTACTGATTTGTACACGATTGTAACAACTTTTAGAGACCACTTTAAAAAAAAAAACAGACAAGCAGCTCCCTCAAGCCCTTTTAATGTTACCTTATCTTTCCCCTAGTACAGGTAGATGAGGGGGAGGGGGGAGGAGAACACGTCAGAAGCAACAGGGAAAGGAGATCATCCTAGCCAATGAAATGGAAGGAAAGAAAGGAAAGGACGGGAAGGGTGGAGGGGGAAGGAATGAAATATACATAAAAGAAAATGTTCTTTGATTCTTTGAAATAAAGAAAAAAAGAGAGTTTGATCACAATGTCCAGCTGTAATGGCAAATCCCCAGCTGCTAACCCCCTCCTACCCACCACCAATGGAGAGATAGTTATGATCGTATTGAAGATATAGCGAGATGGGAAAAGTTAACAAAAAATAAATTAAAATCCCCTCTCCCCCGCCCCGTCTGTCCCCTGAAACTTACAAGTAGAACATTCAGAGCGAACGGATCGGTGGGGAAACTGAACAGAAACAAAAAAAATGAGCGAGGACTCCCTCCCTTGGGATGGTCTTGTTGAGAAACTCACTCAGGAATGGCACATACTTTCAGGAAAGATGAAGAACAAAAAGAGAGAGGGAGGGAGGGAGAAGGGGAGAGAGGTCAGCCAGTGCTACAGCAATGCGATTAACCAGGAGAGAGAAAAACTTGATCCACCGGTTCCTTAAGAATCGACAAGAAAACTGGAGGAGAGGAAGAAAGGGGGGACTTGGAGAAGGGGGGGGGGAGGAACAGAGAAGTTTAAAAAAAAAAAAAACCACCCACACAGAGCAATAAACCTAGGCCAACTTCACAGGATTGTTTTTGGCCCCTGGCAAAATGAAGAGATCTTAATTTCATCTCTGTCAATCCCCGCCCAGAGCACAACCTGTCAAAGTAATTTAAGTCCTGCCTTATTCAATATCGTGTCTGTCATGCCAGGAATAATACCAAAAATAACACTAAAAAGGGATGTAGAGCACTTTCTCCCAGGTAGCTGCAGCTAGAATAGGAAGCTGCTGCAAATTGCAATTCAAACCCTTGTTGTCAGTTTCCAGAGCGGAGAACTGATTAATCGATTCACAGTCCAGAAAAGAGCATTTTAATTGTAAAAAAAGAAAAAGAAAAAAAGAAAAAGAAAAAGAAAAAAGCAGCACCCCAAAAGGCTTTGCCAGTCCTACCCCGTAGAGCCAGTCACTATGCTGGCAAATAATATTAATCTTCCCCCTCCTCCAACCACACGTACGCAGACCGATTGATTAGCATTAATTCGTATTATTGTTGTTACTGGGTAACAGCAACAAGTCATTTGATCGCATCACAGCGCGAGGGATGCCCCCACCATTAGACTTTACTTTGAGACAGCCCCCCCAGCCCTTGGCAAAAGCAGAGACGTTCACACACACACACACACACACACACACAGAGAGAGAGATTTCTGTGAGCCATCATCACACAAATAACCCCCCCCCCCCCCCCGCCCCTGGAAACCAAAATGCCAAGCGAAGATTTACCTCAGCAGCGCATGCAGTACCTCACTTCCATCACCCCTTGTGTGTGGTGTTTTTTATTAGCGCCTCCTCGCCCTTGCTCTCTGTGCCTAGTGCTTGTGCGTGGGGGCGCCGCAGCGGGCTGCGGGAACCGCAAGCGGCGGGTCTGTCGCTAAGGGGAATCCTGCTTTGACTTCCTCCATCTTCAGAGCGCAGGGCCGGCCCGGGACAGCTGGTCAAACCCCGAGAAACCGATCCGGCAGAGGCACCCTCGCGCGCGCGCCCCCGCCCCCGCCGCGCATCTCGCCCAGGCGGCCTCTCTCAGAGGCCCTCCCCCCCCCGCCCTGCGCCGGGGAGGCCGCCGGGAGTGCGCCTCCGCGCCGGCTGGGCTGCTCAGCGCGCTCGGCAATCGATTACAGCGCGAGCGCTGCTCCGGCGGCTCGCCGGCGCGCGCCCTCCCGGCGAAGGGGCGGGAAGGGCGGGGGAGGGGGCTTCGCCGCGCCAGAGGGGGGCCCCCCCCCCCCGGATGGCCGGCGGGCAGAGCCCTTCCGCTCCCTCTGCGGCGAGAGCCAGAGGCAGGAGCGGAGCCGCCGCCCGGGGTGACCTCACGGTGCTGCTCTCGGATTCATGATTCAGCAGTTCTGTTTCTGAACTTTCTTTCTCAAGTTTCAGAGGAACAGCCGTGTTCGTCTGTATTCACAAAAAGAAAAGGAGGACTTGTGGCACCTTAGAGACTAACCAATTTATTTGAGCATGAGCTTTCGTGAGCTACAGCTCACGAAGTGAGCTGTAGCTCACGAAAGCTCATGCTCAAATAAATTGGTTAGTCTCTAAGGTGCCACAAGTCCTCCTTTTCTTTTTTCTTTCTCAAGACTCTGCCCCTGTGCCATCACAGGCGCAGCAGCGGGAATAAGACAGGTTTCAGAGGAACAGCCGTGTTCGTCTGTATTCGCAAAAAGAAAAGGAGAATAAGACTGTGTTTTGGGCGCGAGAAAGGACGACCACGAGCCTTTCCGGGGTATAGATTCAGATGTTGGATTTAGGGGCATAACTTCCATTGAAATGAAGACTCGTGGCACCTTAAGAGAGGAACCCATTTGTTTGAGCATCAGCTTTCCTGAGCTGCAGCATCGGATGAAGTGGGCTGTAGCCCACGAAAGCTGATGCTCAAATAAATGGGTTCGCCTCTAAGGTGCCACGAGTCCTCCTTTTCTTTTTGCGAATACAGACTAACACGGGTGCGACTCTGAAAGCTGCCGTTGAAATGAGTGTGAGTTATGTGTCTCAATCCCCTAAACTGCTGTGAAAACCTCAGCCAATCCGTGCCGAGATAGCACTGTGCCTATAGGGGTGTAAGGATAATGAAGGCAAATCTAAATTGAACAATCTCTGGTGCCCATAATCCCGTGCAATTTCAATGTACTGTCCTAGATTGGATTTTTAATTTTGTAACTATTTGGTCTATTGGCTTTGCCCCCATTACAGTCTACATGAGAATGCATGGGGAAAAGACAAAAGGAAACAAAGAGGAGAGAAATGCTTCAAATCCATTATTTTTATTTAATTGGACATTCATTATAAGTGTGAGATACATTATTTATTTAGCATCCTCAGGTCATATATGAAGGAGTCGGTTTAGCTGGGGAATTGGTACTACCATCATGTGAAGCTAAAATAATATGTGAAAATTTGATGCCACTCACCCTGGACTTGATATGGAGCCTGATCCAAAGCCCACTGAAGACAATGGGAGTCTTTCCACTGACTTTAATGGATTTTGGGTCAGGCCCAACATGATCATTCCTTTTGTTCTTTCATGCTTTGATCAATACTGAATTAGTTAATTTGATGATGGACTTTGAAATATCATCATCAAGTGTCAGGGTTAATGGTCCAGTGAGATGAAAGGAGGCAATTCACACTTACTTTCTGAGCTATTGTTTATATGCCATCTACACTGTATTATATATATTGTATTACACACAAAACTGCATTAAAAGAACATTAAATTTGCAAAGTTAAACACTCAGCGTCTTGGAAATGCCAGAATACAGGTGGCCCGTGCACCCTCGGCCACTTGAGCTAACAGAGTAGCTGCTATAGGAGTTGGTTGTCAGACCTTATGTACACCAGAGGAGGATTTTGCCAGAGGGTTTCACAGATATTTCACACATTTGCAGAGCAATGTGAGACTCTATTCCAGGGGAGGCCAACCTTGCTCTAGTCCATTCTATTTAGGTTCTCAGACTGTGCTCAGCACCGTAGTATTATCTGTGTGTTTTCCAGCGGAGAATTCGGCAATGGGACTACCATCTGTCACGTGATCTCTCTTCCGCTCCCCACGAGATGAAGTGTGTGCAGGAGAGTGTTTTATTTTGGAAATATTTTATTTATTTATGTGTGTGTGTGTGTGTGTGTGTGTGTGTGTGTATGTATCTCCCTCTGTGTGTGCATATATAAAATGCACACACACACACACACACTGCTGTATGTTTCCGGAATGCGTGTTTATGGACTCAGGAAGCTTGGGTTCCATTCCAGGTTCTGGAGGGGACTGTTCGCTAGCAGTCACAGATCCCTGTGCCCATATCCCTCAAGCCTGACCCTTTCCCCCTCCAGCCTGCCCTGGCACAGTCCTCTGTTTTCCACCCTTCCCCTGCTGTGTCTTTGGCCCAGTCCCCGTTATCTCCTCCATGGTTCTGGACTGGGTCCCAGGCTCCCCTTACCCCCACCTCCTGACCCCCTGTCCCAGTCCCAGTCTTCCCCTACTTGGGCTCCTTATCCGATCGCAGTGTCCCAACCCGTTCCCCACCCTACCTTCCAGTCTCCTTGTCCAGCCAATCTCAGTCCCGTCACACCTCAGTTTCCTAACCTGGGTCCTGATCACAATCTACTCCCTCTGCTGCCTCCCCCTCCTCCCACAGGTGCAGCTCTTGTGCCCTCTGCATTGTGGTCAGGCAAACGTCTTCCACCACATTGCCTAGGCAAAAGCTGGTGGAGTTCTGAGAGCACAGTACAGATACTCTCCCTGTGGTCAGTTTTGGTGCCGGGCCCCCCAGCAGCCAGGAGCAGCAGTTGCAGAGAAGTCTTGCTCAACCTGTCGTTCTTGGCTGAAGCATGCTCTGTGCAGATGAAATCTTCAGAGAATTTAGCTGTCAAACAAATGTGTACTGAGCATGAGTGAACAGAGACTTTTTCAGAGACTTATAACTTGGCCAAACTTGGGCATCTTTTCATAAGGACAGCAAACGGCATATTCTGGACACCAGGGAGACTTCCCGTGCCAAATTTCAAGTCCCCACTCGTGCTTCTCAACGAAACAGTCATACGAATTGTTTCCAATATGAGCAAAACAACATATTATCCCCAAATTTCATTCTTTGAAACTTTGAACAAAAATCAGTCTGAGGCAGACACCTGGCATGGAAAATTTCAGCCCAAATGGGGCTGAAAGCAAAGTATAAGCAACTGGAAACAGGGTACTATAATGGGAAGTGATGGGCAATTGTCGGCGGTGCTATCAGTGCAGCCTATAATGCATATAGAGATACATTAATTATAAGCAATAAAATAAAAATGCAAATTAAATAATGTTTTCATTTTAAGGATCAAATTCTGTTTGCCTTATACATGTATTCTCATTGGACCAGATTCTGCTCTCATTGACACTGGTGTAAATCAGAGAGTTATAATGGTACTACTAAAAAGAAAATGCTTTTTCAAAATTTATTTGAGCATAAGCTTTCGTGAGCTACATCCGATGAAGTGAGCTGTAGCTCACGAAAGCTTATGCTCAAATAAATGTGTTAGCCTCTACGGTGCCCCAAGTCCTCCTGTTCTTTTTGCGGATACAGACTAACACGGCTGCTACTCTGAAACCTATGGTACTGCTACTGTAATATCGGAATATGGCCCATTGACTCCAATGGCGGGACTCAGGGAAGGGAACAGAATTTAACACTAGGGGTAACATGTTGGCCCTGTTGAAGTAAATAGCAAACCTCCCATTGATTTTAGTGGGGCTAGGATTTCACTTTAGGGGTGAAAATACATTGTGTGTGTGTTATGAAAAACTAAATCAGAGAATATAAAGGCATTTGATGCTTGATGAAATAATACCATACACTATTCTAAGGCAATTCAGAAAACGTTCAGCTCTTATCTTCTGTACAGTGAGAGGGAGAAGCAGCTTATTTAAATATAATGAAGAGCTTCTCATAAAATTTCTTTCAAATTATGTGTAGATACATCTTTTAATATAACATCAGAAATAATTCTTTCCTAAGATTATTTGGGCCAGGAAGTCAACATGCACCACGATCAGAAAGGCGAACTGTTGCCCAGAAAAAAATCTGGATGGATGGTGCACATTCAATGACATCAAGGACATCCTCCAAGGAAAGATCAGCAAAACAACTCGGGCAAATCTTTTTAACTCGACCGTGCTTCCAGTGATGTTATATGGCAGCAAAACATGGTTGCTGACAAAGATTGAAGAACATCAACTGTCTGTCGCACAGAGGGTGATGGAATGAACATTTTTGAGCATTTCGCTCCGTGATCACATCCCCAGTGAAATAATTAGGCAGCAGTCTGGAGTGTGAGACTTTGTTGTTGAAAGTAGGCTCAATGCAGTGGGTGGGACATGTGGCCTGACTCAGTGACAGCAGCTGGACCTGAGCTATTTCTGAGTGGTATCCGCGAGAACAGAAATGGCCACGTGGTTGGCCTCCAAAGAGGTGGGATGACTTCCCAATGAGGAGATATGGACAAGCATGGCGAAGGATGGCCAGAGAGAGAGAAGATTGGAAGATGTGTTGTGATCGCATGGCGAAGGATGGCCAGAGAGAGAGAAGATTGGAAGATGTGTTGTGATCGTCTCAGTCTCAACTGATGAAGGACTGACAGTCTACGCAAGATATTTTGGATTTTCTTTTCTTTATAATTGAATTACATTTTCTGGTTGCAACATATGGATTTTCACTCCGCCTGTGTTAACAGAGGGCTGCTGTTATCTTACTAAGACAGCCAAAAGCTATCACTCTTTCATGTTGCATTTTGGGATTCTCTGGTGCCTAAAACTCAGTAGTTCATGTTGAGTTGGTATTTCCATTCTCAATCCTAGTCACCCAGATTTGATAGCACAACTATCCCACACCAAATCAAGCTCCACTTTTTAAAATGATAGTATTACAAAAAATCACTATTACCCTGTAAAGCACCTTGTTGTCTAGCTCTCTGAATCAAGATAAGTTATTGACAATACTTCAGAGAAGCGATTACAGAAATCAAAGGCACTAAGGCTA